TTAGGAGGATTATGCTCATCAGCTTAAGAAGCCACTCCGTGAAAGTCAGGCTTGCGAAAAGTGCTTTTAAAAAATGCCTTAAATGAATTATGAATGAAGGAAGCTTGCTCTTTTCTCAGAGAATGATTAAGGCTTCCTTGTGCCTGCAAAGCCTGTTTTAATATAAAAGGCCTGAATAATCTTCCTCTCCAAGGGAGAGAGCCGTCAAGTCTGTGCTTATTCCTAATTTTTTATTCAAAGGCTATAGAAGTCTCACGCTGTCTTTAAGCCATGTTACAAATGAAGGTCTTGGCTGGTATCAGTTTTGCAAATTCCTCTGCAGTCAGCAGGGATCTGCCAAGCTCTGTCGCCCCGTCCTAGCACATGCAGGCTTGCTTCTAAATCCTACTTTGTTGGAGAAAAGAAAGCTTTTTGTACACACCCCCCCTTATTTGAAGCACGATTTTTTCCTCTTTGTCTTTCAGAGATGCTTTTAAAAAGCCTAACTTAACGTTGAAAACATCCTCTTTCATAGTTGAGGCACATCACTCCATCCGACCTATAAATGTACTTGAAATATTTTTTTATATTTCAGCATACCTCCTGTTAGTGCTGTAAAAGTTTGGTATATGCCACCCTGCAGAGCTCGCTGTATTTAAGCGGCACGAATGCAGAGTCAGCAAGTTGCAACTTTTCTAGAATTCCATTACATTATAGTCAGATATGTAATCTCCGAGTCTTCAATCATCTTACATACAACAATTAAATGGGAAGAAAAAGCAGTACATATGTATGCAGTATTAACAGGAACTTACCCTCCGATGCCTATGATGTATTTCATCTTTGTAGAGCTGCCTCCTTAGCAGGAATGTGGTGAGAAAAAAGAAATTTAGAAACGCTGAAATTACTTTCAGCGGAACAAAACTACACCTGATCTTTTTCCTTCTATTTTCCCCCACTCGGCTCTGCTTCACCTCACTCTTTCATTGAAGGAAAAGGCGGGTTTGCCTCTAATTTATAGGGCCCCACTGCAGTGCCCTTCCCTCCCTCCCCGCCCTTTCCCCGCCCCGCCTGCTGATGGAAAAGCCCTGTGACTATCATGAGCCCAAGATGTCATATTTTTGAGCCGGGATTAGCCAATCCTCACCTCGGCGGATGGGGTCATGCGCGCTGCTGCTGCACCTGTTTCTGCACCCCTCGCGGACCCCCACTCTGCTGCCCTTGCTAGCTTTGCTATAAATAGCTTTTTGGCAAACTCTTCCTTTGCCTAAATTAGTAATGGGGTAGGTGGAAATGTCACCCCTTTTCACAATTCCTTTGGGAGTTCTGGGGAAGGCACAGAGGTGTGCAAGGATATAATTAAGTGTCAGTTTTTTTTCCTTGAAGTCAGACAAGCTCTCTCTTTGCCTTCCTCTTAATTTTTCCCAATTCCTATTTGATTATTTGAAATGCATCCAGGAATGTCATGAGAAGGGATTTTTTTGTTTCTCTAAACTTCTTACAGGGAAGGCAAGGGAGCTAAATTTTTTTTTTTAACTCCTTTTAGTGAAGCTGTTCAGAGAAAGGAATATGCAGAAGCTGATGAGTGAATCCATTTGGACCATTATCTTTTGAACCTTTAGGAGGAACTTTTTGAACGAGAAGAGGTGCTATGCTGGACCTTGTTGTCACCAACATGGAGGGGCTGGTGGGGAATGTGAAACTCAAGGGCAGCCTTGGCTGCAGTGACCACGAAATGGTGGAGTTCAAGATCTTTAGGGCACCGAGGGGGGCGCACAGCAAGTTCACTACCCTGGACTTCAGGAGAGCGGACTTTGGCCTCTTCAGGGATCTGCTTGGTAGAGTGCCGTGGGACAAAGCCCTGGAGGGAAGAGGGGCCCAAGAAAGCTGGGTAATATTCAAGGATCACCTCCTCCAAGCTCAGGAGCGATGCATCCCAACAA